CTAAATTGCTCAGTCTCTAATTTATTATTAAAAATAAATTAACTACCTATGGTGTTTTACACATATGCAAAATTATCTTATTAACTGGTGCAGGGTGTCTTATGTAGAGTGTTCTACATCCCTAAAAACCCTAATAACCCCTAAATTCTAACCCTAATGTGAAAAAATTGTATTAAAAATTTTATACATAAAACAGAAAAATATAAAAAACTTATTAAAATTATATGATAGGTGCAAAAAACCATAGGTACGTTTTATAAAATCTATACTATTTAACTTAGCCTGTTTAACTCATTAATTGGTATTGCCCAAAGGCGTGATCTAAATGTGCACGAAATTGTGTAATTATGCGATAGAGCTATCCCCAAAATTAAAGACCCACCATGAATTAGACCCGGATGTGAACCGCGGGATCTTTATTAATTAAATTCGGGTTTTTCAATTAGCAAGACACCTATTATAAATATAAAGCGTGTATACACTTTAAATTTTTTTTTCTTTTCACGATACTATATGTTACTCAAGGTGCGTATACGTAGCATTGGGGCGTAAACGTAGCCATGGTTGCGTAGACGTAGCCATGGGAGTGTAAACGTAGCCGTTGAAGCGTAAACGTATCTAAAATTTAGAATATATATAAAGGGTTGCTCTCCCCTTGACATGAACCAAGCCAGATGTCCGCATCAAAATATAGGGCTGACATTTGGACATTGAACGTAAATTGGTACTCCTGATTAACTAATCAAATGTGTAGGGACATATTTGGATATTGTCCAATGTACACCATACTTTGGTAGTTCAAAATGAGTGCTGCAGAGCAAAAACCTGTAACTGATCATAGTAAATCATTATGATCAGTTACAGGTTTTCGCTCTGCTGCACACAAATAAGATTTTTAATCAATCAAATGCTTGAACATTTGACAATGTTCGCCGGACGTTTGCAGTTACAGTATATCATGTGGACATTGTCTGATGACCGTATGTTTGAACATGCGGTTGACGAGAACATTGGTCAATGTCCAAACATGTCCGTGCCCAAGTAATATACGGGGACGGTGAAAATGCACATGATACATCAAGATGTTCCCTAAAATTTTTATACTTATTTGATATAACAATCATGTTTAATAATAATTATATTTTGTAGCTGATCGCGTTAAAAGTTTTTTTTTTTAAAAAAAAAATTAAGTTACGTGGTTGCTAAGCAAATGACATTTTCTAAAAAATCACTTCGTTACTAGGGATGTTATCCTGTTCCAACCGGTTGATTTGTGCTTAAAAACTCGTTGGAACACTGTTT